GAGCCGCAAGCTGCTGTTGTTGGTGGTGCAATCCTTGCATCATTGTTGTACAGATATCTATGGCTTCGCATCTCTTTGATCAATTCCCTTCTTTTGCGCTTGTTTGCCCCACCGGATGGCGTTTAAAAGCGTCTCCGTCGTGGTTTTTTCCCCCTTTCTTGCTTTTATTTTATATTTTCTTGATTTATGTCACAAATGACCCTAAAGTTTGAAATTTGTCATTATAGTACTTATTGATGGTAATGGTTTTACATGTATTATAGTGATTTATTTCTTTTAATTTAAACAAAAAAGTCATAATCAATAAGATAATAATCATTAATCAGTATTTTTCATAAAAAATAAATTCATAAAATGATATGGTGGAAAAATAAAAGAAAAAGGAGCAATTATAGTCTTCTTCTTAATCAAAATCAAAATACTATATCTTAAATTTTATTACAATAGGTCACGAAAACGTATTAGAGATTTATATTATGTACTATAGTTTATTTAGGAGCTATAATGTTTCCTAATCTGAAGGATATAAGTCTAAGAATTATATTTGAAAATTTCAATATGTAAAAAACTGAGATATTTTATTTTTGATATATTAAATGATTTAATAATATAAGTAAACTCGAGTGTTATTTTTTATATCATGTATAATTGTTTTTCTATTATTCTAGGGGAATCAATAATAATTATATATTTTTTCAGAAATGTTATATTTCATATATATATCGAAGAGATTTAACATATCGAAGAATTTAGTGATTAAGAGAAGTATTGTTTTTCTTAAATATTTTAGATTCAAGCAGTTAGGTAGATTTAATATATTCATATAATTGGGTCAAATTTTTAAATTGTACTATAAATTTTAATTCTTTATTATTATACATATATTGTTTAAAAAAAATTACTGTTATCATTATAATTAAAATAAAATAAAATAAAAAATAATTGATAATTTTCATGTCATGTCATGTATTTTTAAGTTATTTTTATCATTTAAACTATTAAAATTTATTTTTATATTATAAAAATAAATTTCACTTAAAACTAAATAAAAATTAGTGAAGTTATTAGAATGAATGGTAAAATAATCTATAGAAGCAGCATCCAAAGAGAAAAATAGAACAGTTTGGATTTCTAATATTTAATTGAATTTAAGATTTTACCTGCTCAAATCACCAAATTTACAAAAACGGGGGATCAAAAAAATAATGCCATGACTTAAATCGTGAGTAATTATCAATACATGCAACTCAAAAGGATGATATTGTATTTACCCAAAATTGTGACCAGCGACATAAACCGACATAACTAAAATGCCCTAAAACCCAAATGTAACAAATCAAGGGGATCTTCGTTTTCCTGAACTCAACGCAACTTCGCCAAGAAGGAGAAGACCTGCAACTTTGATCGGCCGGAACGATGTCGTACGACGATGTGGAAATAGAGGACATGCAGTGGAACGAGGAGTTGCAGGCGTACACTTATCCATGCCCATGCGGTGATCTATTCCAGATCACAAAAGAAGACCTGAAGCTCAGCGAGGAAATCGCCCGTTGCCCAAGCTGTTCTCTCTACATCAGGTCATCTACAACGCCGAGGACTTCGCCGACAACAAATCTAAGAACGGTCTCGATCCTCAGAAAGGGCAAGCCGTCGCCGTTGCTTGAGGCTTTAAAGGTCATTATTATTTCTCTGTTTTCTTTATTATGAATTAGTTCCTTTACGCGTTGATGAGGAAAATAATTTTCATGTAACTCTGTTGTCGTGAGGTTCTCTGTATCACTGCTTATACTTGATTGAACATTGTAAATCAATTTGATATGTTAAATACAATATGAGATGGATGCATATTTTTTTCATCTGTTGCTTGAAACTTTAGGTTAGAAAGCTCTACTTTCTCGTAGTATTAATCAATTTGATATGTTAAATACAATATGAGATGGAAGCATGTTTTTTTTCATCCGTTGATGGGCGGATGGCTATGGGATTTCAGTGTAATCTTCATAAGCCATGCTAAATCACATCAAATTCATAATTGAACTCCCAAAAAGATCTATCACTGTTGTTCATATATTGCAACAATAACTCAGCCTTAATTTAAGAAAATGTGCTTAAGCATAAAAAAAAGCGCCTGCAACAGCATTGGCTAAGCGAGAAATCAAAAATCCATTTAAGCACAAACTTTTATAGTTGTGCGTGATTACTACTTAAAAATTCAAGTTTTAGATGCATCAAAACTCAACTTGAGATAAGATTGAGAGACAGTAAGGATTGGCCGTTTTGTTGTAGATTTGTACCAGCATTAGTGGTTTCAGTTTTGTTGAATAAAAGTTTCTTTTTTTCAGTTGCCTTTTTTCAGTTACATCCAGAATTTTAAATTTAGCAATGTATCTTGATGTTGAAAATAAAAAGAATACAATCTTCTCTGAGTTAGAATTTGTAGAATTTTTGGATGTCTCAAATAAATGTTAAATTTAACTTTGGGTTAAAATGTTTTAGAAACATGGATTTTGTTAATAGTAGAAATGAGTATTGAATCTAACGGAAGGAACAAATAATGGTGAAGAAATAGTGCAAGGATGAGATTAAACGCTTCAAGAGTAAACCGGTAGATAATGAGTTTGGATATGTTGTACGATTGAATTACAATTTTTTGGTATAAAAGCGTGTCTTGCCTGCAAAACGCATTCGTCTCACTTTGCACCTAGGCTCTAGAGACCCTTTGCGCTTTGTCTTGCCTTGGCCTTTTAAAACTAAAAACTCAACCAAAATATGAGAATCTGATCGTGATGCCAAAGAATTCGTGCAACATTTTTCTATGGCCAATACCAATTCCTTCCTTTCTGTCTTTCATTCCGGGAAGAAGAAATCCCTCTACTTGTATAATATGAAGCCAGTTCACTTCTTTGGTTGTCGTTAGGGTCCCCGCCCCCTGAGTTCAAGATGTCCCATTCAGCTTCTCTTTCAGCTACTTCCCTCATTGGGATTGGTCAAGCTCCTTAGCTTATTGCTCGATTCGGAACCTGTTTTAATAGCACCTTTTCTTCCTATTAGTAGGTCTTGTTGCCCGTTAAATTCCTCTTCTTCTAGTTGTTGTTTTGTTTACTGTCGAAAGTTGCAATTGATGTTGATTAGAGTTGGAAGGAGAAGTGTGTCCGGACATGTGAAATTTCCCTGTATTGTTCTCTATATTATATGTTAATTTGAATTGCGACTTGTGAGGCGTTAAGTGTGCAAAACTCATGGATCTTATCCTAAATGGCTCAAACCAGTATGGTTAAGGGTCTTAAAAGCTTCCATGTTTCACCTCCTTTGGGCTCAGTTCCGACCATCTCTGTTCCTCTCACTTGTTTTGACCTGCCATAGTTTTCTCTAGCTCATGTACGACGACTTTTCTTCTATAGAATTTCCGCGTCGTACGTTGCATTTAATCGAAACCACTCTTCCACTGTAAAACAATCCCTCTCTGTAACTCTACAACATTTTTTCCCTTAGGCAGCATACATCATGTGCTCTCAACCGCCCGGGAAGCCTTACATCTGTAACATGAATGGCAATGACTTCATACCCTTTATGATCCCTGAATCCGCTGTGATTTTGGTCACGGCATAGCTGATTATCCGCAAGATATTAAATTGTTACATCCCTTTGTTCCTCGACTATGATTGGCACATGTAAATGATGATTGTGTTATTGCGCGGCCCTTCATAGCCTTTCAAGTCCTGAACTCCAGTATTTGCATTAGGTCGACTTATTGTCATGTGGTTGTTGATGGCGAGTCATTCATGCGTTTCATGAGGACTTGGACGTCTATTTATAGAATGGGCAGTGACTCGTCTTGTCTCGATGAAAATCCACTTCCTTTGATCGACAAGGACGTCATCAAGGACCCTGGTGGGGACATGGAATTCCTTGTTGAAGGATTATTGGCACTGGTATCATCTTGCAGTGAGAATCCAATATCAACACAAGATATAACAGCAGACAGGGTCCGAGCCACGTTCGTGTTGAGTCCAGTCCATGCCGAGAGACCAAAGCATTTGGTCATGGCAGCTGATACAGAGCAATATCACACGTGCCTTGATATGGGTTTGCTTGATTAAATCAAAAGAGAGTGTTGCTAACGGCAATGACGATAAGTTGTAAGTTGTACTACTTCCTTTCTACATAAGATTGCCGGAACTGCCTCGAATTTCCGGTACGAACAACTTACCTTGGGAATTGTTTACTACCAGGCTGTACTGAGATAAAGGAGACAATGGGGCATTCGGAGAAGGAGCTAAAACATGGTGTCTTACCGGTGTTGCCACTTGCCGGTTCGCCATTGACACCGAGTGTGCAATACGGAATTCGGGTGGGGAAGGCCTTGTAAGGTTGAGGTCACACACACATTGATTACGATGGAGCAATGGAGGGATGGGCAAGGCGAAATACAGGCGGGTGTTGCCTTAAACAAGAATCAAATGGATGGATTCGTGTTACTAGTTTTGTTTGAACAAAGTTTGAAGCTCCTTTCAGTTTAATATTCACAGTTTTCTTTATGGAAACGAAGTTAGGAAAGAGGATGGGTTTAGTATCAACTTAAACCCCGATCTTTAATATCAATATTGTTGTAACACTTGTTTTTCCATTCATGAATTATACAAGGTCAGCCTCTTATATTTTCTTTTGCCCATTAGAAAGGACTAATTAATCTCCTTTTTGCATGATGCCGTGAACTTTAGGTTATTGATTTCTTGTGGTTGTTATTTCGCCTCGCCAAGTCAAACATGTGAAACATAGACTTGTCACCAATTTGATACCGTAAGGAATCCGAAATTATTATATTCCAAGCAACCATTTTTTTATGCAGAGCTTGTATTTTTACCAATATTGTTTTGGCCAATTCACTCTAAATACCAAGAAACAAAACAGAATTACTTCCAAATGGAAACATGACAAATGATATTATTACTAAGATCAAGTTTTCTCGCACGAAAGTGACAGCTTTTTAAAGTACATTATTTTGGGTACAAAAAGAAAAGAAAGAAGTAAGAAGAAGAGGAAGAAACATAAATATATGAATCGCCAGTCGCCATGCTTATTCATCTATAAGATATTTCATGCATAGAGCTTGGGAGATAGCCTTGGAGTGACGGTAACCACCAGCGGTTCGGCTTTAGGTAGAGTCAATGCCGGTGCTTCAGTCATGTCCACCGGCTCGTTGGAGACCGTCCCCAAGTCAAATCCATGAAGGAACCGAGCCATCGTCAAGTGCAAGATCTGAATCGCAAACGTCACACCGGGACACATCCTCCTACCGGAACCAAATGGCAAGAACTCGAAATTTTGACCCCTGATATCGAAATCGGCATGTTCGTTAAGGAATCGCTCGGGCCTGAATTCCGAAGGGTTTTGCCAGATTTTGGGGTCTCTCATCAACTTCCAGAGGTTCACAAGAAGTCGAGTGCCTTTCGGGATATGAAAACCGGCCACCGTGCAGTCTTCCATGGCTTCTCGTGGAGCCGAGAGAGGAGCTGCTGGGTATAACCGCAACGCTTCCTTGACGATGGCGTGCAAGTATGGTAGGTTCTTCATGTCGGATTCCTCGACTTGCCGGTCCTTTCCTACCTGAGCTTCGATTTCTTCTTGTGCCTTCCTTATCACATGGCGGTTGTTTAATAGCAAGGATAGTGCCCATGTAAGTGTTAGCACTGTGGTGTCATTGCCTCCCAAAAGAAGACTCTGAAATCAAAATTGTTCGATGGTTAATTCATTGTTCGAATTGATTTATATTGGATGAAAAATATATATTAACTAATAATTAATGTATATTATTAACGTTATATTTTTACACTTATTTAATTATTAATATTTACATATCATATAATTATCAACTTTGATGATGTGACATAACATATCATAATATTAAATGACGTGATATATAAAATTTTTATATCATCATTTTGATTTATCTAATATATGATAGGTAACTAATTTAACATATTTAAAAATATTGTTAATAATATATGTTCATCGTATATTAACTAGTGAATTTCATCATTTGAATTAAAATTTAAAATATTAAATGTTTAGATATATAGAAAAATAAAGATTAAAATAATTATCGGATAAACTTAAATATTAATTTTGATATTATATGAATCGATGTAAATCTATACGTACAGTACCTGACAAGTGGCCTTGATAGTAATATCAGCCTCTTCTTTCGTAGTCTTGCCGTCATCCAACACATCCAACATAACATCAATGAAATCCTTTTCGCCTTTGATATTTCCGGCGGCCCTCCGTTCACGGTGCTCATTAACCCAACTTCCGAGCACATAATCCAACTCCTTGGCAGTTTTCTTGAACTTGCCCACAGTTCCGGTCAAAATATCGATCCAGCCGAATAAAGGAACCGCGTCCGACACCGTGAGCAACCCGGCAAGGTAAAAGAAATCATTCAAAGCCTTCTGGCACCGTTTGGATTCCTCGTCGTTTCTCCCGTCGGGTCCGCTGTATCCTTTCCCTGTCACCATCTTCACTATAACGTTCATCGCCAAATCCGAGAACTTGTCCTTCATTTGAACGATGGCGACGCCTTTGTTCACCACTGATTCCTCATACAGCTGTTTGAGGAAAAGGTTGATTTCCGCTTCCCGAACATGCTTGAGAAGCTCGAGGCGGCGGTTGGAGAGGAGCTCGACGGTGGCGATCTTCCTCGTGTGGCGCCAGTAGGGGCCATAAGGAGCCGAACCCATCAAGGCGTGGTCGTAGCCCATGATCTTCGCCGTTAACGTCCTCGGCCGTGTGGGGAAGATCTTGTCATTAGTGGTGAAACATTCTTTTATGACGTCCCAGCTGCTCACCACCAGCGTCGGGTGGATCCCCATGCGGATCAAGAAGGCGGGTCCGTACTCATCGGCCAAAGACCCGAGTTTTCTGTGTATGAGCTGGTCTCCTCCGAAGAGGTGAAGGTGGCCGAGGAAAGGCCGGCCTCCCTTAGGCTCCGGCGGCGGTTTCTTATCTCCTTTCTGGCTGCTTTTGGATCGGCTGATAGCACCAAAGATGAAGAGAGCGATTATCAGAGGGACCAAAATTGTAAAAACTATGTTTTGTTGCAACAGAGTGGAGAAATCCATGGTGATTGATTGATTGATGGTGATGAACTCAGTTGCATGATTCGAAAGTGAATTGGCTCTGAATTTATAGAAGAAAGATCAGCAAAATATTGGTCAAGTGAGCCGTGAATTTGTCTGAATAAAATATATAACAAAATAGATTCATTAATAAGACAGATTAATCAATAATATTTATATTATTTATTTAATTTGAATTTAAGTTTTGATATTATCTTAAAATTTTAATAAGTGTTTATTTCAATTAGAAGAGAATATTTGGTAAAATAATCTTTATACCACCCTTGACTTTTTATGTGTAAGTTAAGGTCTCTCATTGTCAAACTTAATACTATTTTTGTTTCATTAAACGTGTTTCTATTGATTTTTAAAATTATTATATTCAAAATATTTTATTAAAAAACAATAAATAATCATATTTATATTTATTTTTTTATTATTGTATGTCTTACTCTTTTATACCTATGAAAATAAATATATCAATTATCTTACAAGATAAATTTATTTTTTTATCAAATATATCTTTGTGCCCTGTTGTCTGTGATATAATATAATATGATCCTAGAATCTCAAACGACGATCATATCACAATCAGTATGTTAACATCTAGCCCAAATTGTCATCATTTTTAAACAGAAAATGACGAGTTTAAGGTACAATAAATAGTCAGATGATCATTCGAGGGACTCAACAAAGAAACATCCTATAATCAAATGGTCATTTTATAACTTTTAATAGTCGAGAAACTAAAAAAAAATATCACCTTATAATCAGAAAATTATTTATGTACTTTTATCGTAAGTTATATATTCAGATTCTAGTTTAAACTAAAAGACTAAATTTAGATAATTAAATAAAAACTAGTACCAGAGCAGCATAATAAATGTAGCTAAATCGCAATCCAAAGAAAACAGACGACATTGAGAAAGAAGGATAAAAAACAGAAAGTCAAATATAATAAAAATAGTAAAAGTTGGGACAAGTCATTGACTAATTGAAAAATGAAAACGACATCAGCAAATATCTGACGTAATTTCTATGTTTTATTGGTTGGAAATTTAATTAATTAATTATTTTTTATTGCCTGTGACCCACGTTGTTGCCTTGAAAAGTAGAGGCAAATCTATTAATTTTTGTTGCGTTAATTATATTTTCACTCGTAACTCTTTTTAGAATTCAGCATTATAGATTCGTATTATGTTTTCAGTTATAACTTTTTCTAGAACACAGTATTTTGTATTATTTTTGTGAATGTATTTTGGGAGCTTCCCATATTTGTAAACTCAATTTATTATTATTTTTATATTACATTATAGATGTCTAAATTGCAGATATTTAAAAACAGTTTTAAAAGAAAAAAATTTAGTTACTATTTCGTTAGTCTCTTGTAACATCGTATGCGTGGACTTCGAGTCGAATTGGATTAGGGTGTTACACTCACAATGACAAAAGAGATGATTAACTGTTTCCGATTCTTTTTGACAAAAAACGCAAAAGCAAGTGTCTACCGACAGAATTCCTCTTCTAGCTAACTCGGCGCGGACAGGAATCCTACTCAGAATAACCTTCCAAGCGAAGGTTGCTACCTTAGGCGGAACATTTACCTCCCAAACACACTTCCAAACTTTGTCCATCGCCGCAATAGAATCAACCTCGCCACGACAGAACAATCTAGGAGAATAGATGTCGTTAGGAGAACCCTCCCAAACCAACATACCCGAAGAATTGCTACTAAGAGTGTCTCAATTTAGAGTTTCAATAAAATCTTCCCAATATGAAACTTCAGCATCCGAAAGAGGTCTACTAATTTCTATGAATCAATGATATACACCATGAAATTTCCTACCAAACTTATTAACGTAACCAGCTTTGTTTAAGGCCAAATCATAAATCAGCAAAAAAGATAATCTCAACGACTGAACTTCTAGTTAGAAATCATTCCAAAAGTCTACCCCTGAACCATCCCCTACTAGTAACCGGAATACGCTTACTATTGGATTACTTGGGTCGCCCACCGGACTAACTATACTCCTCCACACCCAAGACATCTTCCTAGACGGGATCTACGAATGTAGCAAGGCATTCTGTTGATAATCATTTTTTGCACTCATGACCCTTCTCTACAAATTGTTTGGTTCCTTGTTGTACCTCCACACCCATTTCTTTAGAAGGGATCGATTTTTCAACCGAAGATCGACCAAACCAAGCCCCCCTAAACACTTAGGCTTACAAACTTGCTCCCAACTCACACAATGAATAGGCCTTACACCCGACTGTAACATCCCAAAAAGTGGGCTAGTGACCAAAATGTAATTTTTGAAAGTTTGATGATCAAAGTAGAAAATTGAAAAAAGTTTAAAGACATAAATGGTATTTTTCCCAAAAAGAATATTATTCCATAAATGGATTTATTTAGTGACCAAATTATAAATTTGGTAAAGTTTGGTGACTAAAGTATAAACTTTGAAAAGTTTAGGGGCTAAAATGTAATTTTAAAAAGTTACAAATGGGTCACGAAAAATATTTTGTCCATATTTTACTATTGGAATATGATAAGGTTATTGTAGCTTGGTATTAATGTAAATATCAAGTTCATTAAGGGTAAATTAATATGGATATTTTAATTTCAAGGGTAAATTAGTAATTTAGTATTTAATGAATTTTTAATTCATTAAATATTTGAGTTATGTCGTGAACTAGGAAAGTGATCTACGCGAAAAATGCTATCATTTGATACCAATATTTCTTTCTAATCTTGATGAATTTTAAAGATCCCAAATCTAAGGGTTTATGTTCATGATAGGATTCATGAAATTGATGATAAATCTTGATGAATAAGAGGTTATAGATTCATTTCCAAGCTTGATTTATAGTTAAAACATATTTGATCTTTCTAGAAATTATTATGTAAAATTCGGTCAAATTATAAGTTGGAGAACTTTGTGTTCTGATGAAAGTTGATTAGGGATTTGATTGTAGAGATGTTATAAGGTTGATTGAAAGTTGATTTCATGCTTGAATCGAATCAAAATCGAGCAAAATCATGAAAAACCTAGTTTTGGAACTTTAAACCATTAGGCTTTGGTCTTAAATGATGAGAAAAAAATATGGAAAATTATGTAAGGTCTGAAAATGATATAGAAAGTATATTACATGCTTTGGAAAAATTCAGGGACCATTTTGTAATTTTCAAAAAGTTGAGGGACCAATTCATATTTTTTTTAAAGTAAGGAATGGTTGTATAATTGTTTAATAGTTGATGTACTATGCTGTAAATTGTTGTTTTGGGATTGAAATGAGCATTTAGATTGAAATATGACCATTTTGGAAGTTTAAAAGAATTGTTGATTTAAATGCAATAATTACATAGTTTGGGTGCTTAAAGGAAGTTGTACCTTTTTAAAGTAATTAGTTGTTAATAATTCCATTCCTGGAATTACTGGAATTTCTTGAATTTATAGAATTTCTGGAATTTCTGGAATTATGGAATTTTTGGTATTTAAAATTTAAGTGATAAAATGGTGAATGATCATTTTATATAAATTGGAAAAGTTGGTGCCAATATTAAAATGAATTATTAAGTGTTAAATATTTTTATGGAAAATGAGTTTCAAGTATATTATGGATTTTGTTTTGGTGTTAGTATAATACTAACATATGTATTGTTATGAAATTGTGATTTGTACAGATCGTGATTGATTTGTGACTAAGACAAGTTAAGTATAAAAGGATTATTGTGGATTATAGTGAGGAACATCTTTTGGATTTATAAAGTGTCATGGTGAGTGCAAATTTAATTTGTACTTATGTTATAGAATAAACATTGGCTTGCGATGAGCCAGTGACGGAGTTACTATGGTAATAAGTGACTCCTAAAATGTTATTTAAATTGTGATGCATGCATAACATTATGTTGAGTTAATCGATTGACGGAATCGACCAAGAGGGGGTTGAATTGGCAATTAAAATTTTGTGGAAGCTTTTGCAGAAAATTGAAAGTAATTGCACAACGATTTAGAGTGGTTCGACTTTATCAACCAAAGTCTACGTCCACTACCTTAGCTGTCCACACTAAGGATTTTCCAACAAATTCACTAATTTGTTCTTTCTTTTGAGGCCAAAGAGATAACCTTACAACTCCCTCAAGAATATACCACAATTCTTGAGAACACGCTTTTCTCAAAGAGAATATTACAAATTTACAAACTCACAAGAAAAACCTCACAAGGCAAATATGTTTGCACAATTCTAGAATAAAGAAAGAACACTCAAGAATAAATACAATTGAGCACAGTAAGTGTTCTTGAAAGCAAAATGAATATTGAATGAAAAATAGGCTTGAAATGCTCAAACTTGAGGTTTGATGCTTTCTCTTTGATTCTCTCTTGATTCTAGTTGCTTGATGTTTCTTATTGTTGATCAATGGCTTCTAAGCTTGCTTAAATACACCTTGAATCACTTCTGAACGTTGGGGATCATTAATGAAGTTATTGTAGCTGTTTAAGTGTGAAAACAATAAATATTTCTGCTTGGAGCGTGGGGGGAATTGGTACCCCTTCATAGGGTATCGGTACCTGTAGTGTAAAATTCAAATATTTCGACCGTTAAATGCCTGAGGGTATCGGTACCTAAGTAGGGGGTATCGATACCATGTCATGGGGGTATCGATACCTACTAGGGGGTATCGGTACCATCCGAGCATTCTGTTATTTCTCGGAAATAAAATGTTCATAGGGGTATCGGTACCCTATAGGGGGTATCGGTACCCTATAGGGGGTATCGATACCATCCGAGCATTCTGTTATTTCTCGGAACCAAAATGTTCATAGGGGTATCGGTACCCTATATGGGGGTATCGATACCATACTAAATAAAACTTATTTTTGGCTCGAATATGGCTCGAAATACTTTGTAAAAATTGTTTCAAAATTATTTTAAGATTGAAACTTAATTTTACACTTGAGTAAGGATTAAAAAGGACATTTGAAAACTCGGAGTAATATTTTTTATATTCGGAA